GGAACGGTCTCGGTTTTGTTTTGTTATTTTTGTTTCGTTTTTTTTGTGCTAATAGTAATCCTGCGCGCGTGTGTGTGTGTGTGTGTGTGTGTGTGTCTAAAACTAGAAATGTGTGTAGTGTGTGCATGCATGTATGTATGTTTGTGTGTGTGTGTGTGTGTGTGCGTGTGTGCGTGCGTGCGCGCGCACGTTCTTGTTCGCGCTGACAGAAATAGAGGAGACGAGAGTGGTCGGAGGTTCTGTACCCTCTGTTGTTTCCGTCCGTCTGTCTGTCTGTGTGTCTCGCTTGCTCTCTCCCGAATACATGCACTGAATTATCGTTGTCGTGCTCGGTCGTGTTTGTGGTCGTGCGTCTCGTTACTCACTCTTACAAGGGTAGGGCTAGCTGGGTGGGATTTTTTTAACTGGGAGGGGGGGGGGGGGGGTACGCACTTTTTATGTTGATGGTACAATGGTACACACCTATTATCTGATAAAACCCATGTGGGTGGTTGGCTGACCGTGCTCTGGTGTGCTTAGCTCCTTCTTTCCTATCAAACGTCTATCATCCTGATCTCTCCTTCTTTTTTTATGTTTGTTACTCTCTTGTAACACCTAATCGTCGGCACTTATATGACCATATTGTGTTGCAAGTGCCGTAAAACTTTTACTTTAAAAAAAAAGAAGATAAAACACATTTTTCTTCCCGAGATTGACAAAAAACGTGTTTCATCAATCCATAGTTGAAATCGGATGGTCGATACGCAGATAAAAAATGCGTTTTATCAGACCATAGTTGAGATCGGATGGTCGATACGCAGATGGAAAAAATGCGTTTTATCAGACCATAGTTGAAATCGGATGGTCGATACGCAGATAGAAAAAATGCGTTTTATCAGACCATAGTTGAAATCGGATGGTCGATACGCAGATAAAAAACGCGTTTTATCAGATCATGGAGATACAGAGGTTACGTCCTTGGTTAGGCTGGGCAATGAGTCGCTTTAGCAAAATCCGGATATTATGTTAGTGCACCTCTTCAGCAAATGTGTTATGAACCGCTTTGGCAAATGGGCTTTAACCACTTCTACAAACGGGTTAGAACCACTTCAACATTACGGCGGCACCGACTTCGACACACGGGTTATGAAAGAGAGTAAAAAAGAGCCTGAATTCGGATAATGTTTGAAGGAGAATTATTCGGTTTTTCCAACACTTTATCCAGATTTTGCCCACCACTCGTCCTTGGCGTAGGTAGTTTATGTACCGTACTGTAATTGTAGTCCGGGGTTTGACTGGGGTCTTCTGAGCTAAGAGCTTTTAAAATTAATTGCTGTTTAGTATCAGTTATTTGTCGGTTGAATTAGACGTTGGCGTGTTTGTGGGAGATAGGAGGAGGAGGGGGG